TCTTGTTGTGGTTTTGACTTATTTTCCTGATGATGAGTGATGTTGAACATCTTTTTATGTGTCGGCCATCTGGATGTCTTCTTTGGAAAAATGTCTATTCATGTCTTTTGCCCATTTGTTAACCAGATTATTTGTTTTGGGGTGTTTGAATTTGGTAAGTTCTTTATAGATTTTTGGATACTAACCCTTTTTCAGATATGTCATTTGCAAATATCTTCTCCCATTCCGTGGACTGCCTTTTAAGTTTTTTCTATTGTTTCCTTTGCTGTGGAGAAACCTTTTATCTTGATGAAGTCCCAGTAGTTCATTTTTGCTTTTGTTTCCCTTGCCTCTGGAGATGCATCTAGTAAGAACCTGGTATGGCCAAGATCAGAGAGGTTGCTGCCTGTAATTCTCCTCTAGGATTTTGTTGGTTTCCTATCTTACATTTAGGTCTTTGAACCATTTTAATTTATTTTTGTGTACGGTGTAAGAAATTGGTCCAGTTTCATTCTTCTGAATGTTGCTGTCCAGTTTTTCCAACACCATTTGTTGAAGAGACCGTTTTTTTTCCATTAGATATTCTTTCCTGCTTTGTTGAAGATTAGTTAACCATATAATTGTGGGTCCATTTCTGGGTTTTCTGTTCTGTTCCATTGATCTATTTGTCTGTTTTTGTGCCAGTACCATACTGTCTTGATGACTATAGCTTCAGTAATCAGACAACAAAAAGAAATAAAAGGCATCCAAATTGGCAAGAAAGAAGTAAAATTGTCACTATTTGCAGATGACATGATACTCTACATAGAAAACCCAAAAGACTCCACCAAAAATTTGCTGATACACAAATTCAGCAAAGTTGCAGGATACCAAATCAATGTACAGAAATTGGTTGCATTTCTGTACACTAAAAATGAAGAAGCAGAAAGAAAAACCAAGGAATCAGTATCATTTACAATTGCACCAAAAACCATAAGATACCTAGGAATAAACCTAACTAAAGAGGTAAAAGATCTACACTCTGAAAACCATAGAACACTTAGGAAGGAAATTGAGGATGACACAAAGAAATGGAAAAATGTTCCATACTTATAGACTGGAAGAACAAATATTGTTAAAATGTCTATACCACCCAAAGCAATCTACATTTAATTCAATCCCTATCAAAATACCACCAGCATTTTTCACAGAGCTAGAACAAACAATCCTAAAATTTGTATGGAACCACAAAAGACCCTGAATAGCCAAAGCACTCTTGAAAAACAAAGTGGGAGCATCACAATTCTGAACTTCATTATATTACAAAGTTGTTGTCCTTTTTAACTTTTTAATCCTATTGGTCAAATATTTCCCTTCCCTGTATTTAGATTCTCATTTTCTTAATTAACTAATTTCTGTTCTCCACATGAGATAGAGGATTAAGTCTTCTTATATTACTTTGTGGTCTGAGAATGCTTTGATTGGAAAATGTAGATCATGATACCAGATATTTTCTTGAACATATACTTCCAGGGAAATATTATTGAACATTAATTTTAAAAGACAGATTTCAGAGTAGATATCAAATCTGGAGGCTATTTTATTGGCAAGTCCTCTGCGTTTAAAGGTTGTATTAATATATGTGCTCGTATTAAGTAGGCTAGTGGACCACAAAGAAGCCATACATATCTTTAGATAGGTCTGCAGAAGAAGTGTTACCCTTTGTGCTTAAGTTTATAGCCTTCTAGAGTATAATGATTGCTTAAGAGTAGTCTAATCATAGCAGCATAACAGAAGAGATTAAAACAAAGGAGCCCTGTATAAACAGTGCAGCAACAAATTTTTCAAACATACTCCCGAAATTAAATTTAGAAGAGTGATTTTTCTAGATAGAGTAGCTTAAGTTTTGGGAAAAGCTCATTGTAGAGTCTGGCATTGTGAGATATCTATAAGCATTTCTGCCCTCAAGTGATCTTTAGAGTTTTCGTGAATCTCCTTCAGGCCCAACAAAGGGAGTAAGTGAATATTGATGAATACCTACATGTTTTGACCTGGCAGGCTCTAGAGATAATCTCTGTGTTTAGTTTAATGTTAAGGTAAACTTGGCATTCTACTTTTTTCTTTTCTTTTCTTTCTTTCTTTTTTTTTTTTTTTTTTTACTGTTTTTCTGACCCTGGAGCAATGCTTGTTGACAAAACAGATCTTTGGTCCATTCCTTATAATTTATAGGGGCCTTTATGAATAGTCTTGAAATGATGGGGAGCCATTTTTATGTTCCTTTTGGATACCCCATAACTGACTAAAGTTACTTATTTTTTTTATTTAGTCATTCAGTAAATATTTTTTTAACAGATTTCATTTATTTGAGGGAGTGTATATGCAGAGACCAGCAAACACCAGCAGGGTTAGGGGCAGAGGCGGAGGGAGGAGAAACAGACTCCCCACTGAGCAGAGCCTGCCAGGGCCTAGATCGCAAGACTCTGGGATCATGACCTGAGCTGAAGGCAGATGCTTAACTGAGCCACCTAGGCACCCTTTCAGTAAATATTTTTTAATAATTAAATGAAAATAAATCTTTTCTTGTCTACTTAGGAATTTTACTCTCTAGTCATATCTTTAAGATTTTATCAGTCTAAACAGAGAGAGATTTTGCTACATATTTTCTCACCTTGACATGCTTTTTTTCTCCTTACAATATATGGCATCACTGGGCACCTGGGTGGCTCAGTCGCTAAGTGTCTGCCTTCGGCTCAGGTCATGCCAGGGTCCTGGGATCGAGCCCTGCATCAGGCTTCCTGCTTAGCAGGAGGCCTGCTTCTCTTTCTCCCACTCCCCCTGCTTGTGTTCCCTCTTCTTTATCTCTCTGTGTTGAATAAATAAAATCTTTAATCTTATCTATCTTCTATCTATATATTTTATATGGATATATTAGATAGATATATATAATAGATATATATATTGTGTATATATATATATAATAGATATATTATCACTTATTTTTTTTTAATTTATTCATTGTTTTTAGTAACTTCTTCTTGGGTTACTTTCATAACCCAAGGTGGGGCTCAAACTCTAGTCCTGAGATCAAGAATTGCTTGCTCTTCTGACTTAGCCAATCAGGTGCCCCTCATCTTTATTTTGTGCCTAATCCTACATATTTGTCACTTTTTATGTTATGCCAAATTTTACATCTTTATGCTTTTTAGTATTTCTCTTAACTACTTTTTTTCTCATTCTATGGCTATAGGTTTTGCCTAGATTATAGTATTGTATGCCTTGTGTCTTGAACAAATGTTTGAGAACTTCTTTCTTATTCCTTTATGAATGTTCTCCATATTTATAAAGGATGTATGTACAGTATTAGGATATTTATAGTAGTGAATTTAGATGGAGAGAATTTTGAAAATTGTCTAGTCTAGCTTTATTCTTCATGAGTGAGAATAATGATGCTTTGAGAAGTAAGCACAGTTTTTCTCATGTCCCCATGTGTACATCGTTTTCCACTTTGCACTTTGGGGGTTTACTTGATTTGGACAGTATCTTGGCAAAGATGTTTCAGAAGGCTGACAGATTGAAGATTTAGATGGTAGAAAATAATTCGTGGTTCCAATGTTTGACAATTCTAGAAAGACTGAGAGGCAGCAGGAATTATTTCTAAAGGTAGGGCAAGTGTGCTTGAGAGTAATAGCAATAAAGGGGAAGACCTTGGAAAGGGATGGCAACAATGGAGGCAGGAGAACCTGAGACCAGGGGATAAATTGTCCTTATGTGTCTATTTGTTTAACTGTCTGGATTCCTTATACATGTTTTCTATTTCAGGTTACCCTCTTAGAAGGAAGGGCCTGAGTCCCATTCATGGGCCTAATAGTATGCTAGACATAAATAATAGGGGCTCGGGGAAATGATTTTAATGTGATGATGAGCAAGAAAACATAAACCTCTTTTTTGAACACTATTGTGTGCCATGCTCTTTCATGTAAATTATTTCAAAGACAAGATGTAATCAGCTCAAACATTCAAAAATCCAATTTTCATTCTGTTACTTCATTGATTTCAAGTATCTCCACCAGAAGGCTAGCAACAAAGGAAAGGCTGCGGAGTTCATGTTATTCAGAAATTGCTGTAGTAGAGCTGGGGTCTGGATGGAAGTAAATTCAAAGGAGTCCCCGTGGATTCCCTTTACACATATTGCTGTGTGATCTTGTAAGATAAATGTTGTACTCTCTTTGGAGGCATAAGCAAGAGTCACAGAAAAATTCAGGGCAAACATCTCTATGCACAGAGTAACATGAGAAATAGAGTTGTCATTTTAAAATAAGTTTTAATGTTGTTCTTGTTTAATCGGCGTTTTTAAATTTCCCCCCTGTCCTCCTGTCAGAAGTCACCTCTTTTTGATAATATTGAGTTGGAATACTTCTCAGAGTTAAACATTAAAGATACAGATTTTTTTGGTCAGTATTTTTTAACACTTGTAATTCCTTTTGGACTAAGAATAGTTGTAGTTTCTTTTATGTTAATGCCATCTTTTTATTCTAGTCTGGTTATTTATATGCTACTGAGGAATGCGGATATCAGTACCAAGGAAAAGAATAAAATTAATTACCTATGTGTATATATGAAATATTTAAGAGAGATATAGATTGTTTATTTCATTGACAGGATTTAAATAAAAATATGAAAAAGATTCAAATCAAAATAAATTATTTGTGTCTATTTTGATGAGAAATGAAACTGTGTTTTAAAAGTCGGATATTTTTCTGTCCTGGATTACAATTCGAAACTTATATTCTATGTTGGACTTTCCATATTTAAGATACATCTGATGATTGGGAACATTTTTGATATAAAAATCTGGTTCATATTTTATCACAAAGGTATGCAAGATTGCCTTATGAGAGGTTAATTTTTTTAAAAAGCCAAATATAGATTATCCCTGAAGATAACAGCACACCTCTGGAAGAAATCTGGTTTTGGTAGACGACAGCTGTAGGCACATATTTTCTTATTCTTATAGGCATTTTCTTTTCATTTTTGTATTTCAGAGTAAGTGAGGAAAAGGAAGTGACAGAAGAACGATTCCGAGCCGAGCAGGAATCATTTGAGAAGAAGATCAGGCAGTTGGAAGAACAGAATGATCTGATCATCAAAGAAAGGGAAGATATCCTTTTTGAAAGTCCTCTTTTTTAATGTGCAGGAAATTTGACTCTTTCATGAAGAAAATGTAAGCTCCAGAGAAATAATTGTTCTAATTTATAACAGGGAATAAATCTGCATGGGCTGCCATTTTTAGGCAATCAAAACGACACTTAACAGCATGTGCTGTTGCTTCCTTTGTGCTTGATACGGCCACCCAGCTGTTCTGCCGCTGCTGTTATGCTGCAGAGCACATATTTGTCAACTAAAAAAGACAATAAGAAATTTGGGCATTAAAATGTAGTGTTGGAACTTTACTGAATTCTGTTGCACTGCTCTAACTGAGCCTGAAACCTCTTTGTATTTGGCATTCTTTCTAGCTAAAGCTTTGACAGCCCTAAGGAATTCTACTCTGAAATCATAAAAATTAAAAAAAAAAAATATCGTAATTTGTAGATGTCATAATTGGTAAGTGTTTACATTGCAGCATAATACACGAAAATTCTCATGGAGGAGGAGACTATTGGGTTTAAGAACTAGAAAGAGAGGTGTATGTGTGAGTGTGTGTGTGTGTATGTAATATATATTGCACTATTTGTAAGAAAGTAAAATAAAAGCTGGTATTTTAACTTAAGAATTATATGTTAAGGTATATGCAAGTTAAAAAATAAGCATATTTCTGAAGTTTCTTTTGGCTGGGCTACTTATCTTTGGATGTTTTTTCAGTGGTATTGATATAAAAGAGAAGTGACTATCCTTAAAGTTAGGGTGATAGTATAGTATATGAAACTTGAAACTAGTATATGAATACTTGAAGGAACCTGTGCCCATATTGGCAATATCATTATTAACTTCATCCCTAATAATTATTTCAAAAGCTCTTAAAATTAGTGTTAAAATTACCATACATGGACAATAACTCTACCTTTGTGAATACCAGGGAAATAGAAACGTAAAGGTATAAATAATTCACTTGGGAAAAAACATTTAAAAAATGTAAATGTAGGGGCACCTGTGTGGCTCAGTGGGTTAAGGCCTCTGCCTTCGGCTCAGGTCAAGATCCCAGCGTCCTGGGATCGAGCCCCCACATGGGGGCTCCTCTGCTCAGCAAGGAGCCTGCTTTCTCCTCTCTCTCTACCGGCCTCTCCACCTACTTGTAATCTCTGTCTGTCAAATAAATAAATAAAATCTTAAAAAAAAATGTAAATGTAAAAAATGAGTTCTGAATTTCTTTGTTTTATCAAAAAGTGGGAATACACAATTGGAAATTAATGTGATCAAAATTTTCGGATTCGATTCGCTGAGCAGGACATTTACAAAGTTTATTTGCCTACAATTCTAAAGGTGTACTTTCTCAATTATTTCTTTTCTATAACTTCTAGCATTTGAGTAATTATCTTGGATCTTCTCTTTTCTTTGCCTTCATTGACTTTATTGTACTAGGCTGTCAGCTCTCAGATTAGACCCGCTTTTGTGATTTTCTTCCTGCTACTTTCCTCTCTCTGGGTTAAAGTAGTGCTGTTTAGTCAGAACTCACAACAAACTGCTCAGCCACTTTGGTCCTTCACTTGTCACAAGGAATAGTGACTTGGACTTCCAAGAAAAGGTAGATTAGGAATATTTTTATTTGTAACAAAAATTCTCATTTTACAGCATCTTCTTTTTTAAGATTTTGTTTATTTATTTGACAGAGAGTGTGCGAGAACACAAGCAGGGGGATCAATACAGGGAGAGGGAGAAGCAGGCTCCCTGTCAAGCAAGGAGCCCAATGCGGGGCTGGATCCCAGGACTCTGGGATCATGACCTGAGCCGAAGGCAGACACAACCATCTGAGCCACCCAGTTGCCCCCTATGTAAAAACTCTGGAGATAAGTGGCCTCTGGTACTGTTTCAGTGGCTTAAAGTTTTCAGCACTGGATCTCCACAGTTCTCTTAGCAGGTTCTAATGGTTGCAGAATGGTTGCTCTAATTCCAGATATCATCTTTGCCCTAGGGCAGGGAGAAGGCGGAGGAAGGAGTTCTGGCAGTTGTGACTCAGTCTCCTTTTTTAAAAAAAAAATGTGAAATTTTTCTCAGGGCAGTCCCCACCCTGCTCCTCCCCACCCCGCCCCCAACCTCCAGCAGTCTTTCATGAGATATTTATTATCCAGAACTTTATTACATGGCCATGCTAAACTGCAAGAAGGGCTGATAAAGTGGGCATTTTCCTTTATAGTCTGGTAACAGAAGTAGGGGAAATAGAAGCCTCTTTCTATAAAAGGGAGAGGAGGTAATGATGCCTTGGCCTTCCTGAGACCAAAAAAAAAAAAAAAAAAAAAAAAATTAGTATTATGTCCACTGGAATTAGCATAAAGTGGGAAATAAGGTGAGAAACAGAGATGTAGACAAGTTTGAAATCCTGGCCAAAATTAAGGCCTTATTTATTTGGTAGTGTGCTTAACCAAGATGTGTAGCTATTTTAGCACTCTGGTCAAGAGTCGGGTTTAGTGCTGAAGTGTAAATTCAGCATGGCTATGAATGGTTTCCTCTAGTAGTTTAAGTAGTAAGATACCCCAGGTGATTGTAGTAGCCCAATTATTCATTTCTCCAATCACTTAGCTCAGGGATCAGCAAGCTACTACCAGGGTCCAAATCCAGGAGGGTGCCTGCTAAATCTAGCCGTTCATTCCTGTGTTACCTGCTGCTGCTTTTGCATTGTGGCTGCTGGCTGAGTAGTTGCAGCAAAGACCCCCGTGGCCTGCCCTGCCTAAAGTACTTCTTCTGGCTCTACAGAAGTTTACTGACCCCTGATCTGTCTTATATGCTAAAAACAAAAGGAAAAGGCATGTCAGTAAAGTTGAAGACTTAGACATATGTCACAGTTGGAAGTATTTTACATATGATATGAAAGGATTTGAATTGAACATTTATTATCATTGTGAATGAAGATTGGTGTGAGACCATTATCAAAAATTGAAATTGAAAAATTGAAGGTTTTTTTGAATCACCAAATGATAGGTGGTTTTTGTGGAACGGTGGAAGAAGGGAGAGAGGAAGATTTAAAAAAAGATTTAAAAAACAGTGACACCCATGGTTTTTATTCCAAGTAGATTGTTCAGGTACAAATCTCCTTTACTAGCATAAACCTGTCAAAGGTTAATATAGACGATTTTACAGTACATAAAACCCTATAAAACTTAGGAACATAAAACAAGGTTATAATTTAAAACAATATAATTTTAACTACAGATACATTTGCCTATCATACATGAGTGAGTCAGACTCTTTCATATACATGAAATCAGATAATATTAGGTCATTTTACAATCTGTTTCTGTGTGAGGAACTGTATGAATTCAGATTTTTGGAATTTTAAAGACGTGTTATACTAAATTTAAGGTTTTTTGTTTTAAAAGTTCTGATAACTTGGCTTATGGCACCATACGAACACAGACCAGTCCCTTGGTGAAAAAGAGAAAAGATATTTTATGTGTTTGCATTTGGACCCGGCTTTTGAAGATTTGTTCTTAACAGTGAATAGAGAATTTATTACTAAAACATAAAAATTCTTGTAATTTTCAGTCTTTGAACAAAGCTTATTTCCTGAGAACTTAACTCTGTGAATAAATATGCCATTCACCAAGTCAAGCAGTCTGATGAACCTAGTAGATTTTTGCCTACCTAAATGAGTATGAAAGGAGAGATAAATCTGAAACTTAGAGAGAAATATATCCAATTGGAATTGTTCTGAAGCATATTAACAGGTAATAGTTTAAGACACAGAAAAATGTAGTCATTAGAAAAGTTGATTAATATTTGAGCTAATTGTATTTTCAGAGCATATGTCTCAGGTCAGGATGATACCAAAGCTTACAGAAGGAAAGTAAAGTCTGATGTTTGCTATTTTAACTGGCAGAACAAGGGGAGTGATAGAGAAGTACAGTGGCTTTAGAGACAAAATCCTGTTTTAGTGCTGGTAAACTATCTAACCTTGAAAAGCTAGTGTCTAACTTTGAAAAATTAATGAACTTAGTTCTGAGTCTCTGTTTTCTTCTACAATATGTGGATAACTAATAATGCCTTCTCATTTCTTTGTCTTTCTTCACTGGGGCTCTGATGGCTTTCATCGGGTTATACAAGTACCTAGGCAGTTTCGAGACCTACTGGGAGAGTGAAAGTGATCTGCTCTGTGCTTTATCTTCTAATTTCTGTGTGAGACGTAATTTCTCTTTACTGCTTACGCCTATTGGTTCCTCACTGAGAGGAAACCAGGTCTGACTCTCCTCTCCCAGAAACTGGACTGACAGAGATTTTAAGCTGACAGGGGACTTCTTAGGAAAACTATTAAAAACCACAAAAAAACTGACAAGGCAAGCAGTCTAGAACTCTGCCCACCTAGATATATCTCAAGGCCTTCATATGATAAATGTAATGCAGTAGCTAACATTCATAGTGATAATTCTGAGGCTTTGAAATAACGTTAAATTTTTATCCCCTGTTACTTCTTAGTACTTCTGGTACTTCTTTTATTTTAGTAAGACATCTTATATTTGTATATTAGTTTTCTATTTACAGAGCATTTTCACGTGTACTTTTTATTTTTTATTTTACTACTTTCTTTAAAGATTTTATTTGTTTGAGGCGGGGAAAGGGGAGGGAGAGGGACAAGGAGACTCTGTGTTCCATGTAGAGCCTGAGGCAGGGCTCAAGATCACCACTCAGAGATCATGACCTGAGCGAAATCAAGAGTTGGATGTTCAACCCACTGAGCTAGCCAGATGCCCCTCACATGTACTTTCTAATCTTCACAATAACACACTTAAGTGAGGCAGATACTCTTATTCTTATTTTATAGGTAAAGATACAGGTCTGGAGAGGTGACTGAAACAACCCATTGTATTTCAGAATGAAAGCTTTTGACTCCAAGTGGCTTTTCATTATACCGAATTATCTCTGCATAGCCTTACTTTTGCAACTTGCTTTATAGTTAAAGCACAATCTAATGAAAATTGCTTATATTAATATAGTGCTTTTAAAAAATTTTTT